GTGGAGTATAAATCAAAAGTCTCTAACTAGGTCACTACAAAGTTAGAGATGATTGTAGCAACCTCCATTGGTGCGAAGGAGCCCTTGGTGGGTATCCTTCGTTATGTGAACACTCCCCCACAATGTAGACTTTGTCTTGTGTACGCTATTCCCCTGTATTCACTATGCGCCTGTAGGCCTACTAATCCCCAATTTTCAGTCATGTCCGGTTGAGATGTTCCCTCATTTTGACATCTCAGGGTGCACATGGAAGATGTCAGAAAAACTGGACTCAGGGTCGAGAGATCTTGAGAAGCGGCTTGAAATGGAGGTTCTTGTGGACAGCAACACTCAACCAACTGAACCTTGTGAACTGTTGTACAGAGGGAGAATTGCCACTTCTCTTGAACGATAGTTCCTCAGTCTGGTTTTTCTGATGTGGCTCACACGTGCACCCTGAGATAAACTCAGTGTCCAGGATGACAGCAGGTGATGGTGCACTGCTGCTCTCCAAGACTTTGACAGGAATCCTGGGCCTGCCTTAACGGCGACTACATCACTGCAGCCTGTGTGGTGCAGTACAGGTAATGTCTATGTGAAAGAGCTTCTAATCTGATCGACCAGCCAACAAATGATATTGAGGCTCCTGCTAGGGAATCTCATGAAATCAAGTTTTTTGGGGGTGGGGGTTTGTTTTGATTCGTTGAAGAAACTTAAGTAAGAACTTGGGAATCCAACAATACTGGGTGTGCAGTAACAGTGACCAGTGTGCTGCGTCAGACTGTAGATCAACCAGCGCGTAATGACATCTGTTTCCCATAGTGTGCACTGAACAGGGAGGTGTACACAAGACTATATTGGCAGTGCCTTGATGTTCACGAAGGATCCCCCCCTCGGTCACCTGAACTCCCTTCACTCCAATTGAAGCATTTCTGTGATATTGCAAAACTCAGCAGTTTGATGACTGCCTTCAAACATTCGATCTTCCAGAAAAAGTCATGGCATGAAGGGCAATTGTGTCACCAGTTAGAAGATAGCCTATAGCTCACTATAGGCTAAACTGGCACATGATCAGGTTCATGATATTAAACCATTTTACATTACATTTTTAGCATTGCTAAATTTTAACATTACTTGCTTATAAAATGGATGAAAGATATGATAAGATGTACAAGAAAATTGCCAATGTGCAATGATGGGTTAAGACTACTTCTTGATCTTTTCATTGTAGCTTGTAGTCTTTATTTTTTGAGGCAGGTTTCCAAATTAGGTGTCTTACTGATCAGTGCTATAAAAATGGATCTTGATGAGGATGACTTGGACATATTCACAGCAGCAGTGCAGAAAAAGTGGGAAGCAGAAGCAGCATCTTTGGATAAAGAACTATTCAGTTATGCTCCCACCATCAATCAAGTTAGCAGCTCTTTGCTCCCACCAAGAGCAAATGTAGAGGAAAACTTAAGCGGTAATGAAAAGAAATACTCACAGAAGGGAAGGAAGCGATTTAGTAGTGAAAACACAGTCATGGACCATCATTTATATGATGATGAAATTATGGTTATGGCTGGGAAAGTAAGTGTGATCAATAGGGAGAAATGTCTACAGGGAGGAAAGAAGCAATTCAGTGGTGAAGATGCTGTTTTGGATGATGATTCAGATGAAGTAATGATTGAGTCTATAAGGATCAATGCAACCAACAAGCGAGTGAAGAAAGTGGAGGACCACTTCAATGTGCAGCAGGACAGTAACTTGGAAGGCAAAGTTCAGAAGATCATTGACCAAATTGATGCCTTGAAAAAAGGTGAGATGGAATATCCTAATGATGCAGGAAGTGTGAATGATGAGGCTCCCCCTGATATATCATTTCAGTCTGTTGTTATTAAGGTGCATTTTCGAGATGTGCATAAACTATTTGTCATAGACCAAAACCAACCTCTCCAATTTTTGGTGAATGAATGTGCCAAAACATTCAGCTTGGATGTCAATAAAATCAAACTATCATATCTTGACCAATATGAACTTGATCTACAAGCATCCCCTGCATACTTTGCCCTTGATGACAGTGATGAACTAAAACTGATTTATGATGATGAAGAAGCAATTGGTGTTAAGAATAAAATATGCTTCAAACTTCAGGGGTCTAAATCCTCCCGTGATGTTGTCGCAGTGCATTTGCTTCCAAAAGAACCCTTGTGTAGAGCCCTTGAAGTGTATGCCAAGAAGAGTGAAAAACCAATTGAGAAGCTCTCACTTTATTTTGACGGAGAACGGGTGGATTTGAGTGAGACTCCACGTTCACTGGATCTGGAAGGTGATGAGCTCCTTGATGTTCATGAAGATTAGGGCTTTAATAAGGGTCTGTCATTCAGTGATTTTGCTTGTTTTATATCCATAGAAGGGTTCTTCATCATGTTTTATTCATGTGAAAGAAATCATTTGAACAATTTTAATGTGAATGGAACATTGTTCAAGAGTGGTGTATGCATTCAAATAACAAACCATCTGACCATTTATGTTTATTCAAGGTGGTAAGAAAATTAAAAAATATGACATAAGTTAGCATTATCTCCCATGTCTTTTCACTGGACAAATTGGCTAGGTCAGTTTTAACTTGAAAAGAAGGCAAATGTAAGCTCCTATTACATGGGAATATGAGGGGCCCTCAGAAAGTTTCCAGATGTTACTTATGCAAATGATCACACATAAAAGCTTTTCTCCACTTTTAGCTCTATTCGATATGAGTCTGTATGGAAATTATCTAATATATACCTCGTCAGATATTTTATTTATGCCATTTCATACCCTGCATATCTGCAACCTTTATTCTTTGGCTGTGGAACAAAGCAATAAGCACTTTTCTGATTTCTAATGTAGCATAACAGATGAGCAGAGCATTGCCAGGTTTCAAGGTGCATTTGGAGGTGGTGCCCTATGATCTAGCAAAGCATTCTTCTGGTTTGCTGAATTTTTGAGGGAGTTGTGAGCAATGACAGATGAATCTCACACCAAACAGTTGTGACTGAGGCCAGAAAAGAAAACTTGCTGGCATGCAGGGTATGAAATGCCATAAACAGAATACCTGAAGAAGTATATATTTGAAAATTTGCAGTCTCATATCATGTGGGGCTGAAGGTGGAGAAAAACTTTCATGTGTGACCCTTTCCATGAAATGACATCCAGAAACTTTGAGTGCCCTATGTATAAGAGTAATTACTGCAAGTATCATTTTCTTGATGAAGGATGCTTGCTGGTTTATTTTCTGCCTTTTCACCCTACATATTTAAATCTATGTGAGAAATAGTTGGGAAGATTCACTATCTTGATTGTGGTGCAGTAGAATATCATTATGTTTGGTCGTATTGATGCACTAATTCATGAATGAAAATGATGGAGCTCTACTCCCTCATTTGGAATTCATGTTCCATTCTTTACTGCTGCCATAGCACCATGAGTATTGCATATTTCTCTGCTCTTGAAACCAGGTGATCTTGCAGTTCACAGGGTCTTGGCATATTTATTAGATTCCAGTACTTGAAAGATTTCAAATTATGAACTGTCCTGACTTTCATAGGCCAGGATACTGCTGGTTCTCAGCAGTGTTTGAGAAGAATCTCTTTGCTGGCCTCATTTTGAGCCCCTTACATCTGATACTGGCTGCATCATGCCACTTTTCAAAATAACTTGTACCTTATCAATGATTTACAGTTACCTGTATGTATAGTGTGTGCAATTAGTCTTGGAAACAAATTACATTCAATAAATGAAGGTGTTTTCTTGACATTCCTTGCAAACTTTTCATCATGCTGGATTTGTATATATGTTGCATCAGCTGCTTCTTGTTCTTTGTTACATTTATATTGAAAGAGAGAAAGTCTGATATGAATGAAGAAGACATGAGGTAACAGATGTTTAAAATATTTTACTTGTCTCGTGTATGTCTCAGCATTGTAATGCTGTGAGGATGTTGTCATATTACTTTTGTCTAGCATAGCTGGTTTCTTTTCTGGTTTTTCTTAAGATATTGAGCTATGCCAAGACAAATAGGAACTGTGGAACAAATCTTTAAAAAATTAAAGAGTAATGCAAATCTTGGTGTTATCTTGTGGGTTTAATGAAAAGGCATCGAACTGGCAATCATTTTGTTATAGCATGGCAGAACTTTGGAAGGGAAACAACTAAGTCCATTTTAATGACTCCATTCTACAGGGTGGGGCAGGTAAATTGGGACAAACTATAATGGAAATTAAAAAGACATGTTTTGCAAGCAGAAATCAATATATTGAAATGAAAATTGGCACAGAAGTAGTTCAAATGATACAGTTTCGAATTATTCAATGTAGTCTCCATTGTTGGCGACGACAGACTCGAGGCGAGTGCGGAAGGAAGCACAGGCCTTGGCGACGATGGCCTTGTCCATTTGGGTCATCACCTTGTGAACCGCATCCTTGACTGACTGGATGGTGTTGTGGGGGACTTTATTAACATCTCTCTCAACAACGCCCCACACATAGTAGTCGAGGGGGTTNACATCTCTCTCAACAACGCCCCACACATAGTAGTCGAGGGGGTTGCAGTCTGGGGAGTTGGGGGGCCAAAGGTCAGGACCCCAGTGGCTGGGGACGTTAAGCGTCAGCCATGCCTGTGTCTTCTTGGCCTTGTGGGCTGGAGCTGAGTCCTGTTGGAAGACATACAGTACATCAATGTCCTGGAGACCGTCGTGAAGCCTTGGATGGGCATGGTGGCTGCAGGTAGGAAGTATGTATGGTTCACAAGGTGATGACCCAAACGGACAAGGCCATCGTCGCCAAGGCCTGTGCTTCCTACAGCACTCGCCTCGAGTCTGTCGTCGCCAACAATGGAGACTACATTGAATAATTCGAAACTGTATCATTTGAACTGCTTCTGTGCCAATTTTCATTTGAATATATTGATTTTTGCTTGCAAAACATGTCTTTTTAATTTCCATTATAGTTTGTCCCAATTTACCTGCCCCACCCTGTAATATCTGTCTACCAACATTGTCACTCACCCCATTTAGACCCAGCCAGGACAGGACATGCTGCATGACGTGTCTTCATATCTCCTTCACCACTTTTGTGAAGGTTGAACCAAAAAGCAGAAGAACCCTTCTGTGGCCAGAGGCTGAGCCTCAGTTCAGGGAATACTGTTGCCCCTCCAGCACTCACATCACTCATCTAAATATGTAAAACATAGCCATTTATATAATTATTTTCAGTGTTATTGCAAAGAAGATTCTCAGGATAAGTTCGTTGCTAGTTCAACAAGAACTATGTATATTACATAATACAGCAGCAAGTTTCTAACAACCTATGCAGTTGAACAGTTAAACCACGTATGAATATTTTACCATATTTGCCCAAAAATAAAAAAGACTAACCCAGAACTATTTCTATCACAAATATGAAACCAATGGGTGAGGGAAATGATGTTCAAATAATATACAGCATGAAATAATCTGCAAAAGCTCAAGTGATGGTTTCAGGATGATGCAACTGAAATTTGTCAGAGAAAGAAAAAGAGAATTCTTACATAGTTAAGCCATGTTGCAATCCTGTTTCCAGTGCCAAGGCTCTTGAAAGCATTCTTTTCCTCTCGCTGGAAGTAAAAAAAGATGGAGAATATCATGTCAATATTATTTTCAGTTGGTTACAAAATGGCAAAAATTGTGAATGCAATCAATAAAAAAATCATAATAATAGCCCCCAGTATACATATTAAACTTCAGTATAATAAACATGAAAAAAATACATATGCCCTTCCCAAAAAATGATCAGAACAGATATCCCACTAAAATAGAACCCATGCTCACATTAGAACACATTATCTTAACTTCCAATGAATTTTATTTGAATTTATAAAATACTGGCAATGCTGTACACCATTAGTGACTTTTTTCAAGGTCATGACATTTCTATCGAGTTTTGGTAACCGAAATTCAACCAATTTTTTTCTAGGTCATCCTTCAATATATTTCAAGTCTGACAAAAAAAAAGCATTTTATACCTGAATCTTTCTTCTTTCCATTACATGCAACCAGGAAAAAAATCCTTGAAAGCATTACACCAAAAATGCATGTTGAAGAGTGCCCTTTTTTTTGGGCCACCCTGTATACAGATGTTATCAAGCTACCAACATCTTTTGAAAGACTGCTCTTTTGGTTGTAAAAGTAAAAAAAAAGAATATTCCAACTTTATAGGCACAATTTCTGGCACAAGTGCCAGAAATTTATTGATGCTTTAGAACCTGTTTGATCTAAATTAGGCTCATATGAGAACTTGGGTTAAACTTATGTAGGTTCAAGAATTTATTATGGAGGTAGGGATCAGCTTATTTTAGCCTTGTAAAGAATTTTTGGGATTTTGGAATGGAAAAAAAAGACGACTCTGATGATTCTTACTTAATGGAGTGCCTGTCAAAAACGTGCATTTGCTGGTGAACCAAGTCACCTTTTTTATCCCCCATATAAGCAAGAAGGGAAGGGAATGACTCACACGGGCAAAGTCAAAGTGAGGTTCATAATGTCCTCCAAGACCATAGTTCACTACCTGTAACTCTTCTGCTGTTTCAACATCAAGGTCAGTAGCCTGCAAGTACAAAAATTGTTGCATTTCCAGTGAATAATAGTCATTCCACACTAAGCATGAAAAAAAAAGCCAATACATATATATATTTCAGTTCTACTGAATTTAAGCATTGCTTCAATCAACAGTAGCAATTATTTTCATAATACTACCGTAACACATAATAATATACCAGGAGACTCTGATGTTTCTCCTAGAGGTATGAGAGTCTTTTGAAGTTTGAATCAATTTCAAGCCCAAATGGACAATGCTAAGTTCCTTGATCATCTTACACCTCAGAAAGGACATCTGAGTTTCCATGAAATATGGCTCCTAGTGTACTAGTGAAGCCCCATTGGTTGAGTGAGGTAATGGCATTGCCTTCACTTTTCTCCTCTACTGTGAATGCTCTATCGCAGGGGTGCACAACTGAAAAGGTAGAGGGTCACTGATCATTGCTGGAGCAATGGGACAAGGCAGGGGCAATAGTAACATGTCATAAGTCATGACTGACCAAGAACAAGGGTCTCGTGGGCTGCATGTTGTGCATTCCTACTTTATCTGATATAGCTGTTAAATGGGTCTAGTAAGAATATGGAATAATTCAGATCATATCAGGATTTGGAGCATATCAAATACAGTAAGTAAAAATAATACAAGTGAAAGAGGCACTTTAAGTTAAGAACATCTTTCACTGATGCATACAGATTGCTACACTTATCCAGATTTGAGGGGCAGCATATGTATTGCTGTGCAGTAACTTGGAAATGCTTGCTTCAGTGTCAGGCATTTCCTTCAAGGCCTGCACAAAAATTCTGTCATTCACTGAGGACTGCAGCTGCCACATCAGTTCTACTTTACAGTAGGCTCTAGTGTACATATGCAAAACATCAGTAAAAGGATTTTGCATAGTCAGGTTGAAACGCATGCCTGAACAACCTCTTAATTCAGAAGCATGACACAGGCAGGAAATCTTCCCAATCCAATTCCATATATGATGCCAAGAAACACCATAAGTGAGAGATGCATCAACAGGACAGCTAATCTTCAGGCATACTCTATTTTCACACTTCATAGGAAAAGCATTATATCATATAACATCTCCTCTCAAGAATTCTCTTAGCACAAAAAAAGTATTTCCAATGAGTATAAAGTACTTTTCCAAATTAAAACCAAATATCAAAGTAAATCAATCTTCTAATTTTGGATGCTGATCAGCAATCAATACTACTAACTCTAGCAATTCTGGTATTGCAAAGTTGAGAAAAGAAAAAAGTCCCAGCTAACTGGCAAAGAGTTACAGAAATAGGGCAGGAATGAGATGGATGCGGTTGGGACAAGGAAGGAAAGTGCAAGCAATACAATAATTCAAGTTCAAGGCCTGATTCGAGTGTAGGCAGACAATGTTAAGCCACACAGTCACATGCCTTGAAAATTTAAAGTGTGTTTTTTTTTCAATTTTTTCTGAACCAATGAGGACTCAGTAGTGAAACGAATTAGCTAGGCTCTCAAATTTTCAAGCCTCAAAGATAAAATAAATACTTATTTATGCAGGCCAAAAAAAAAAAGTTCCTACAAAAAGTCTTAGTCAAAATTTGAAAGTGATGGAAATGATGTAGAGTCATTGTTCTTAAATTTCAATAGCAACATTCCAGGGAGGAAGTTATGCCTCCTGTCCAATCAAACAAACTTTGCCTGCACTTAGATACAAGAAAACTAGTCGCAGCACAATTTCCAATAATTTTCCTAAAATAGGAAAGAAGATTCCCAACACCACTAATCAAGAGGGGTTGATGTGAAAATAACTTACTGCATCAATTCTGCGGACAATTTTCTCAATAACAGGATGTTCTTCTGTTCTCAGCCAGGCAGATTTGCTGATTCGATATGTAGCTGTCTCCAATTCCCCTGACTTGTAATTCTGAACAGTAGCCCTCTTCAGCTATATATATATATCATGAACAGAATCCAATTGATTAGTTCAGAGTCAGAAAACCAGGATGCTATCACTGTCCCTCATCACAAAGAATTTCCTGATGGGGTTAGAGATTTCAGGTTTTACTCTACATGTTTCAATTCCACAATAATAACTTATTGGGCCAAATCAATAGAACTGCAAAGTCAAACCAAGCTATATTTTAAAGAGCAACATGAAAATTACTAATGAATCTCAAGTAACAGCACAACTGATTGTGGTTATTTTCTCCTTGAGAACAGGTTTAAACAAAAAAGCCCTATTCCTAAAAAGACCTGTCCCTAATCATAATTTTAACAGAACTTGAATGATTAGAATACCCATGGGTTTATATAATTAATTTTCAGACACAAGTATGGCAATAAGAATAAAATTGCCAATACTGGCCTAAATTAGACTGACTGACTAGAAAGCACTAAAAAAAACCCCTTATCTACAGCTTGAGATGTTTCCTTAAGTTTTTCCACATACAGTAGGTGCCACTTTATTATTGGTGCATGAAGAAGCTGAAAACAATATGTGTGGTGGTTGCTAAAGATTACTCCGCCCATCTTAGGATAAACAAAGTAAGGAATAAAACTTGGAAACATAGACAACACTATATTATGCCTACCCTTCCATCTATTGAGTCAGCCATCAGTTGCAACGAAATCTTTTTCATCCAATTTTTCAGCAATTTGCTAGGCTTTCTTGCAAGCAAGCAAGATTGCTGAATATGTGCCCATTAAGTCATTTCAAAAGAGCATCTCCTACGTCTACACTTTTCCTTCCCTCTTTCTGTTGAGGTTTCGATTTAAAGTCTCATTCACTTCAAGAGTTCATCGGCTTTTCAAAATTTTGCACAGAAATGATTGCATTGATAAAATATAGTCAAAGGAAAACAACTGCAAAGCAAAGAAATGTTGCTCCTTGGCAAGTTGGGAAGCTCTATTGGGGTGCAAATGCCCACACTGCACAGCTCTCAGTTGGCACTCTGTTACTGTGCCTCCTTTAGACCCAACTCTGCACATGCCAAGCAGGTGGATACACAATTAAACCAGAGCATGCAGATAATCACTGGGTGCATGAGACCCACCAATCAGGCATGGCTCCCAGTTTTGCTACCATACCCCCTCCCAATGTCAAATGCAAAGAGGCACTGTGTGAGCTGCTATTCTGACTGAAACAGGTGCCCCAATTCCCAATCCATAATGACATGTGTAACCCTGAGACTGACTTCTAGACACCTAGCACTACATTCAGAAACTTTCAACAATTCCTACCACTGCGGGCAGATGACAGGAACTCCTACCTTCCTACCTGCTCACCAACATGGAGCATCTACCTTGCTTAAGTTGAACCCTCCAGGTTTCAACCTACCTTGACACCTATGGGCTAACACCTACTGCACTGACAAAGACTACAAGTGGGACCACCCTGACAATCCACGCTGCTGCTGTAGTGCGGTTAAGCAACTTTACTGGCAAGCTGTACCGTCCTTGAGGGCCTTCATGGTGGCCTTATGAAGCCTTATTGCACACCCTGAAGGGATCATCTGGCTTTGCACAATCCTGTCCTTGTGTATTGTGTGTCGCTTTTTATTTCCTTTGTGTCTGTCTGGCCTTGCTGTGCTGTATTTCTAGTCTTATGTGCATTCACAATATATATCTTGAAGACTCATTTTTTCTTTTACAATATATATCTTAATTTCCTTTTTTATCATTTTCAATCAGGACTATCTCCATTTTGTCTGTCTCTTGTATGAAAGCAGGTAAATTTTCTCATTTCCCCCTCTAGTGGCAGCTAATGATATGCAGTAGTGGAAATGAGGGCCAAAATCCACCCAAAAACTCATGACTAGAACTATCAGATAATATTTCCTGGAAATAAAGCAGCATCATCAGATAGTTCTCTGTTCAAAAATCCACCCTTACTATTTTTTCCTCTTCTACTTATACATGAGCAACTTATCCACACTGAAAAGTGGGCATGCACAATATGCAAGGTAAATTTCAGCAGAGGAAGTTTGAAACTTACTCTGGGCTGGGCAAGCTGCTTGATAATTTCCATCTCATTCTCCTGAAGAAAATTCCTAAAGATGACAATCCAGGGCTTTGGATACATTACCTCCAGTTTGAGAGGCCCAATCACAAGAAGAGGATGCCTGTTGTGATCAAAGTAGGTACAATATGTGGAGGCAAGGATCTTTGGACTTGGAGACACTTCACCTCGGCACAGTTTCTCATAGACAGAACGTTCTGATTCTTCCTCTTCTTCTGGTTCTGCATCTTCTGATGGAGTCAGCTGCATCAGCAATACACCACAAAAAATGCTCAAATTTACTACTATAATAAGTAAATCTTGTTTCATACAGAAAAAAAAGAAAAGTAGAATAATTTCACCAGTACCACCATAGAGGGAAATGCTCTAGAAAGAGAGAGTTCTGATCACTAAACTCTCTGCCAATGACTTCAATAAGCCTGATAGCATGAATCTATAACATCAAGGGTCCCCACAAACAAAGCCAATGTCTCCTTCTTGTAGCAAGTGATTAATTTATAAGCAGTGCATGGCACTCTAACCGGTAGGGTAGAAGTTATTAAAAACAAGAAATATCCACATATGGGATCTATTTGGATGAAACATACTTCCGTTGAGAACTAACCAATGAATTGCAAGACTGATGATGGTAGAGTTATTTTCCAAATGTGAATGAGTAGGTCATTTACAAGTGTCACTGAACCCCAGTCTTAACATTTTCAAGTTCATCACTCTCCTCCCTGGTATGCAAACCTAATCTTAGGTTAGCACCTTACTTGGCTGTCAAATGAAATTCTCAACAGCACTGCCTTAATTCCTTTTACACCTCTACTCTCCTTCCACTAATGCACCTTGATACGAATACACATGCATATGTCTCATTATGTGGTGTCCAAAATTATATTCCATTTTAATGCAGGAGGGCTTGGGTGCTTATTTTTAATGATGGAAGTTCCTATTCTTGGAGCTTATCTTATTGTTTAGGCTCATTGCACCTCATGCGTGATAAAAATAGAACTGTCTCATTGGTGTCTCAAGTGCCACCCAATAAAAACATTACAGAGTTTAATTTGATCAATATATGTAAAATGTAGCCAAGCAACTCTTGCAGCTTCTGAGATTTGTAGGAACTTACATCCAAAGATCTAGCTTCTATTCTAGTCAAGCAATTTTGACAACCTAATGATGCACATCAGTATTCAGGTTTCTCCCCTGCCTTGGCCTACTGCCTAATAATGTTAACCTTACACTGCATGGCGTGCCAGATATGGCCCACTACTTCGCATCACAATCCAATGGAAAAACAATTTAATGGTAAGGATAATTATTTCATTATTTTTCTCATCAACCACATGAAAAAATATGATATTCAAAAATGTTTTTGATGCATTAAAAAAAAGCATAAAGTAAGGTTAAAGAAAAGGAAAAAAAGCAATATTCAAACCTCAGGCTGCGCTGAAATATTAGGTGAACCGTCATCACCCTTTCGAGTTTTCTTCAATTTCACCAGCTCTTCTTCATAGTAAATTTTGTTTCCAGGGGCCCTTGGATGATGGGGCATTAGCTTCAGCAGCTCATCTGTTAGCTGGAGTGCTTCTTCTGTCTTCCCTGATTACAAAGCAACAAATTGTCATTCATATGAGGTATTAGAGAGGGCTGCAATGTTAAATTAATCTATTCAGGATGCTTTATTGAGATTTAAACACATTTGGCATTAATCAAATTATTATGTAACAAATAATGTACCTTTATGTAACAGGCAGGCTCTTAGAAATTTGCAAGACAGAATAGATGGACCATGAGATGATGTGCATGTCTACTAACCTTGCATGTATGTAGAGAAGGCCAAATATTCCAAGATGTCTTCACGAGCTATAGTTGGCATATCCTCCTCATGAAATCGCTTCAAGGCTTCTTGCATCCATAGCACAGTATGGTAATGGTCTCCAGAATTATAAGTTTGCCTTCCAAGCTCAAAGCAATCCCCAGCTGCAGAATATTCCAACAATATTCTCATGTTGAGTAAATTCCAGAACAATATCTTCAGATTCTTAAATAATCAGTTCAATGTAGAACTACTCTAGAAGGAGGCATCTGATTTTCTTTGTTTATTTTGTTGAAAAACTTATACTGACCCATTCTTTTTTTCCTTATCTAATTTAACATAGTGCCATGAAAGCCTCAAAGTTTATTATGAAGAGTCAATAAATCTCTCACATTTGAGTTAACTTGATCTAGTCCTTCAAGTATTAATAACTTTGTCAAGCAAAAAATGGTCTTGTCCACTTTTTTTCTTTATCACATCCAGGCCTTGAGACACTACAAATCTTGACAATTTTTCAAATGCCTGAAAAACTACTGGAAGCTTTAGAAGCTGGCAGCAAAATGTCTTAAGCAAATGTCACACTTGTGTGAGGTCCAGCAAAAGTAAATACCAATGATGTCCATACTTTGGGATTGAAAAGCAGGAAGAATGGATAAAAGTAGTGGTGTTGACAATGAACATGCAACAAGAATGTAATACTAGGTTGGCCAAAAAGTTCTGCAACACTTGCGAAAAACTTGATTTTTATGTGCATTTTTGTTAATTTTTTTTTGCATTTTATGCACAATTTTTGTTGTTTTTGTGTTTATTGTGTTCCGGGTTCATCTTTATCCTCAAAGTTTTAGATGACTGGACAAAATCGAGCTTCAAGTCTTGATACGCTATTGTTGGAAGCAACGACTTTCTACCAGAGATGCTGCGAAAGAGATTTGTGATGCTGAAGGCGAAGGAACCATCCACTACACAACTGTTTCCCAATGGTACAAACGATTCGATTCCGGTGACATATGGACCCGATAAATAGCCGATGGCAGAATGGTACTTCAATCAAATCCGGATGCTTGCAGATCGGTGGCAAAAGATTCTTGAAAACGATGGCCTTTATTTTGAAGAGTAGTTGTTATTGTTTTTAAATAAATTTGCGCATACAAATCAACTTTTTCGCGAGTGTTGAAGAACTTTCTGGCCAACCTAATACTTTAATTTAAGGAGGCCGAATGCTGTGGTGGTAGCTCTCTCCCCAATGCGCAAGGCCTAGAAGTCTGTGATTTTAGGCCATAGGCTAGGACATCCAACGCTCTCAGCGCCAGGTCCGTAGGGCTATGCCAGTCTGAGACATAGGCTGTGGCTCATCTTATTACTTTCTTAGGCTTCATAATTAGCTGTGTCAATCAATAGGTGCTATGAACTGAATGCGTGTGACGCTTTTTCTGATCGGCAGCATGTTCTCCATTTGAATATATTCTTTGCTGAAGTATATTTTCTGTATGTATTTATTTTTCGTTAGGTCAGGCGTGATGGTTCGCGCCATCGTTTCCATGCAATAGTTTTCTGTGTGCATATCATGTCATGGCCGATGTATTTCATTTCTCATGATTGATGAAGTCAAAATAATAACGTAAGTTCTTTGTTTCATATGTCGCGCAAAGGGGCCGCTCCTCCCATCAAAATGATAGCGATTTTTGTGAGGTGAGGATGAACGCGAAGGAAAAATGTTAAACGAAGTCCTACAGGACCGCAATGAGGCAGTCGCTGCAAATAAAAAACAATTGGTGCTGGCGCAGAAACAACGTTTGCCACTGTAGTTGAGGAGCGAAATTCCTTAGTCGGTGCTTTAGGAGGTGGCTTTGCCGTAATAGCTAGAATGAGTGATGAACAGCACGCAGCTGTAGGAGCGTTGGGCCGCTCAAGACTGCTGAACAGCAAGAGACAGCGAAGGCTGGGCTCAGGACTAGGAGAGCCGCGCAGCCTGCTAAGCAACTATATGCAAGGAACGCAGCACTCAGGTGTCGAAAGCCGGGGGGCGGCAGGGAATTGAACCCGGACCTCCTGCTTGCCGGTCAGATGTGCTAACATTACACTACGGAACTCGGGACATTTTGTCATGCCTCTCCATGTCATCTCAATCTCAAAAACTACAGTCGTTCGCCGCAGCGAGCACTGCCAGGCTGTACATTTTGCTGTAGGGAGGGGGCATTTTTTTCACATTGCTGACACAACGGAAAAGTGCTCCTGCTGCAACTCACACTTTACCCTTGGGGCAAGGCATTTTCATAAAGTATTCGTTAGTATTGTCCCGCACAAGCGCTAACTTCCTCCTGTGCTACAGTCGAACAAGTTCTTGGAAATGGCCCGTACTGTCAGAATCAGTGGTATTCGTCCCATAAGATAATGCTAATAGCCCTTGAGTTAATCGGTGATGCAAGATTATTGAATGTGTTGGGACAACGAAATCGGAAACGTCGTTTTGAGTCTCATGAAAACCTGCTAAACCGAGGCGTTCACAATGGCGATTGTTGCAATGAGCTGGAATATCATGATGTTTAGGAACAAAATCATCATGTTTACTGTAAGCTATATGGGTATAAATATAATGAAGCGGTTCAGTTCCGAATGGTTAATGCAATGAACAGAGGATGACAAGGATACTTTATGCTCACAATACACGACTCAAATTTCCGCCTTAGGCGGAAATTTGAATCAACAAAACAAACAAAAATCGCATTGGCGTCATCCATCACAACAATGAAGGGTCTCCTGTAAGGTCTTGGGAAGCCAGGAGAATAGATCTTGTCTAATTGCCGGGAAATGAGTGAGTGCAGTTATTCAAATGCATAGCCATTTAAACTAGAATATTTCCCTTGATAATGGAATTAATGAATATATTTTGCCCTATCCTCTGTCAGGGAACAGTGATCTCTCCGGTCATACCAAGTTGGTGTCCTTGGTAAAGATCGACTTGGATAACGAGAATATCTCTTCTGGGAGAGCGAATTACGGAAACCAACAACTTTCCTTGAAGAAGACCATCGAAGAAGATGAGGAAACCGGAACGGACAGCAATATAGTTTTCCTTATGCCATGGAGAAGAGTGATTTGCGTGATTTCAGTATAAATCAACATTAAAAAATATTTTCTTCCCGTTTTATAGATCCATAGGAGACTCAACGGTGGAGGAATTCACCGAGGAGATGGACGAGGACATCGTCCCATTACATGAGTGGCACCGGATCGCATTCGGACATCATTTGCAGAGGGCCTCCTTTCATTAAAAAAGAAGCTTCATGTTTGCGCTGCAATGCAACAAATTAATATCATTCTGTATCTAAACTCTCCGTTTCCTCCTCCATAATTTGATTTCATGAAACGACGCAGACGCATGGGCTCTTTCTAACTCTGCAGATAGGCCACTAGAAAGATTGTTGACTTCTCTCAAAATTCTGTGTACTCGTTATCAATTATTTTCTCTTGCTTAAATGCATAAAACTTCATTATGCTTATAATATGTTCATTCCATTTGTTTTGTACGGGTTGATATCACTTCTCCCAAATTTCGCGAGAGGTTTACTCCCCTCTTAACATTTTTCCACATCAATTCTTAATTTATTGCATGAATGGATGTTGCAATGTTCCTGAAGTCAATTATGACATTTTTACTGGTACATTTCAGTACAACTGTGCCATTTCAGTTAATATTGTGTTCGATCTTAGATATGGTTGATATACAACAATGGATCAGATCGAGGTCATTAATCTAGGCAAACGGGCTAAAAAGAAATATATGAAGGAGAAGTGCGGCTTCTTACAGCATTCCGAATTTAAGAAAATGGAACCAAACTAGTTCATTTTTACAGTTGGAGAGAACATTAGTGGTTCAGTTCTATGAGTGAAAACCGAGCCAATTGGCTCTGGCTTCACAGTGAAACGAAAAAAAGGACAATCAGAGCGAAAAACAGGCCAACTGACTCGGGTTCGGGAGAGAATAATTCTCGAATTGTATCGTGATCCATTGCTGATAAGCACTTCAGAATCAACACCGCGAAAAAAAATTGGCCATTCTATGGTATATGAAAAGAGAGATGCAATGGAAGAATACAGTATGAAAGTATGCAGCGAGTATACAGTGTATGAAATAATTAGTTGATCGTATTCCGCTCCGATGTCATTCGAGGCATAGGGGTCCTATGACACAATATACTTGAGAGGAATGAGTAAGGCTCACTAGACAAATTTAGACTAAAATACAATGATTTAACCCACAATCTGAACTTGTACAAGGCATATATTTTTGTCTAGAAAAACATTATTGAATACCCCACTGCTAAAAATGTTACAGACCGATATTTTCCAACCACGTGATTCACATCTCGTTTTTGTGTGATTGGAGGCCAAAGAGGTTGGAATATGGGAGGTAAAGGACCGAAAGTTAGCTACTTGACGAAACTTGTCGGACGTATCAGGGGAAGATGACATTTATGTAAGTCATTTGGCAAAGCGAAATGCCTTGCTATTATATGAAACCCGTTTTACTCTACGGCTAGTGTAGCGGCCTGCGGCCGCTAGTTCCATTTGTTCAACGAATTTCTTCCACGCCTCCTGTTTCACTTTGGCCAAACCATGAGTCGGCGCATCTCGGTGTTGCATGCTCCGGAAAAGTCTGACCTAATGAACATGAACGCCCTATAAGCTACCTTTTTGGCAATAACAGCCTCGCGTATAATTCAGCTGGTGTCCACACAAGAGTGCCCTCAGCGTTATAGTTCGCCACTCTGATGCACCTTTCCCACACACTTTTGTTCCGCTCATTCGATCTTTACATCTGATGAAATTATATCTTTTGAAACCTTATAGACAGGCTATGGAGAAAATTTACTTTATTTGTGAGGTACAGTATTTGCTACGTTCTTACTTATCAAAGCTGCCAATGACAGACCCATTTTACGGTAATTCTGTTTCTCTTTTACGTCAACCCTGTTGGAATTTTTCAATTACTGGCCCTGATAACGGCTCAGTTGATAACGATATTCCAGGCTGTGACCCTAATCTGAACCCCACCGGTTCTTTCTTCTTGCAGGACCTGGCATGATTAGAAAAAGGGGACATCTGAACACTTTGTCCTCCAGTCTCTGGATGTTGGGCGTTAATAGAAATGCAGTAGTGGAGGAGA